ACAGATTGTCATTATGCTGGGAATAGGGAACAAGTCAATACACAACCTTGATCAAGTCATTTTTCCTAAAACATGTTTAATCCTGGGTAGGTGATGAGTGTGTTTAAATGCACATTAATATAGGTGAATTGAAATGTGAGCCTGAGGTAATTCCAGGCCAGTGTGGTGGTGGTGATCTCTCTCCACGTAGTTCTGGGTCTTCCCCGAAGCCGCCTCTCAGCTGGACATGCTAGGAGCACCTCCCTAGGGAGGCGCCCAGTGGGCATCCTTGTGATGTGTGAACCACCTCTGCTGGCTCCTTTCGACGCAAATGAGCAGCGGTTATACTGTATGAGTTCCTCATGGATGATTTTGCTTCTATCTCTAAGGGAGAAGAAGTCAGCCACCCCCCTGTGAAAACCCATTTTGGCCGCTTGTACCCACGATCTAGTTCTTTCAGTCATGAATATTATATATATGTACACCAGCCACTTTATTAGGTACACCTTGTTAGTACCGGGTTGGACCCCCTTTTGCCTTCTGAACTACCTTGATTCTTTGTGGCATACTTTCAACAAGGTGTTGGAAACATGCCTCAGAGACTTTGGTCCATATTGACAATAGCATCACAATTTGTCGGCATATCCATGATGCAAATCTCGTATTCCACCACATCCCAAAGTTAATCTATTGGATTGAGATCTGGTGACTGTGGAGGCCATTGGAGTACAGTGAACTCATTTTCATGTTCAAGAAACCAGTTTGAGATGATTTGAGCTTTGTGACATGGTGCATTATACTGCTGGAAGTAGCCATCAGAAGATGGGTACACTGTAGTCATGAAGGGATGGACATGGTCAGCAACTTAATTAACAATACTTAGGTAGGCTGTCACGTTTAAACAATGCTCAGTTGGTACTAAGGGGCCAAAGTGTGCCAAAAAAGTATCCCCCACACCATTACACCTACAGCACCAGCCTGAACCATTGATACAAGGCAGGATGGATCCATGCTTTCATGTTGTTTATGCCAAATTCTGACCATCTGAATGTAGCAGCTGAAATCGAGACTCGTCAGACCAGGTAGTGTTTTTTCCAATCTTCTATTGTCCAATTTTGGTGAGCCTGTGTGAATTGTAGTCTCAGTTTCCTGTTCTTAGCTGACAGGAGTCAGCTGTGGTCTTCTGCTGCTGTAGCCCAACTGCTTCAAGATTCGACATGTTGTGCGTTCGGAGATAGTATTCTGTATACCTTGGTTTTCTTTCTGTCATCTCGAACCAGTCTGCCCATTCTCCTCTGACCTCTGACGACAACAAGACATTTTCGTCCATACAGCTGCCGCTCGCTTGATATTTTTAGTGTCTCTGTAAACCCGAGATAGTTGTGCGTGAAAATCCCAGTAGATCAGCAATTTCTGAAATACTCAGACCAGCCCGTCTGGCACCAAGAACCATGCCATGTTCAAAATCACTTAAATCCCCTTTCTTCCCCATTCTGATGCTGGGTTTAATCTTCATCAAGTTGTCTTGACCACGTCCACATGCCTAAATGCATTGAATTGCTGCCATGTGATTGGGTGATTAGCTATTTTTGTTAACGACAATTGAACAGATGCACCTCATAAAGTAGCCGGTGAGTGTATTTTAGTGCACCAATATAAATGTAATAATGTACATGTAAACTCACTGTACAACCCAGTTTCTGTATTGTTTTCTTATCAGCTATTTAGATTAAATCAATTTGCCTTGGTTGCAGCACATAGTTAATTGGTATGTTCTGTATGTCCTGCCTATCCAGATTTGTGACCATCCACTTGTTCTTCTTCTCTCTATTTGGCTGGCTGAGCAACTGCTTGTCATCTACACTCTGAATAAATCTTCCACTCCATCACACAGTAGGGAATTTAAAGCTCTACCAAGAACTTACTTCTGTTTTAACAGGCCTGCCAAACTCCTCCATAAGAGGAGGGAGCTGTTTGACAGTGAATTAGTAGTTATTTACTGGGTGGAAGGAATGAGTGCTTGGAGCTTTGGGTCTCCCGGTATTAAACAAAAGGCCAGTGGATTAGAGTGTTGTCTCATGATGACATGGAAGAAGGCCAGAGTCCTGTCAATGTAAAATAATAGTTTTGAGACTGGCCTTACCTAAGACACAGATGAGAGGATGTGTGAGAGTTGTAGTAGACGTCAAAGCCAAAGATTGTTCCTTAAGATAAAGATGGTGAGTAATGTGTGTGCATGTTGCTGCTATGGTTTTTAACCAGGCAAATCAACAAATGCTGCACTCATATAAATATTAATAGCCTAGGTGTTTTGTAAGGAATGGCGGGATTGATGGGTGATGGTGTTTGTGAGGGTCGGGATAGATGGAAGGTGCTCTGTCCATCAGCCATAGTCACTGATGGAAAATTAATGCGATTGTTTGTGAGTCTTGACTACACTTACATTTGCTTACAAGTGGGTGTGTGTGGTTGTGAGTGTGCATCATTGTCATGTGAGTGTAACAGTATGTGAGAAATCAGTCAGTGTTATGTGAGCTACTCTTTCCCTACCTACCTCTCTCATATGATCTCACTATGGTAACACTAATATTTACAGATCCAACACACCGACCTTTGCGTTTCTGCTCACTTGTAATTTTGCTGCCTGTAAACCTGTTCCCTTTACTGTCAACTAAAGGGTAACTGTAAAAATGTAATTTTGCGCAGTGAGCACAGTTCTTCTCTGATTTGTTTGTCAGTATGGCTAATGTAAATTAGCTTGGAACATAATCAGTGTTGATTCAACCCCATTAATAGCTTATCCCTCACTGCTTTCTTCTGTAACATAACACACGCAGTCCATACCATCCCCCCCTCCTCGCATTGCTTCCCTCTCTCGTGTGGTTGTACACACATTCACTCACATACCAGTACGATGCATAGATATCCTTACATGAAGAGCTTGGTGAGCTTGCAGAATGTAAACACAATGTGTGTAGTCTGACTGGAGTCTTCTGATTGCACATAGCTGGTTGTTGTTTTGTCGTCCTGGTGTTAGTGATTATTGATTCTGCCTTGGACTTCACATCACAGAGCCTCAGAATGGCTTCTTGACTCTAACGCAAGTCAGAACAGAGAGGTTCCTCTTCTGTCTGACAATGACACATTTCCGTGCTGTAGCCAGGGATTCAGTCTGTTCTTCGCAGACTCAACCAGAGCTTAAAATAACCTCCAGTTTAATTTAACCCTTTGGGGGTCAGTGCTACTGCCAATGAGGCACACACTCAATCAGGATTGACAAGCCAGCTGCCGCAGTATAATGTGGAAAACTGATTTTTATCCCATCTCTTGTACCGTCTGCCTCTAATGTGTTCTGTCGGTTTTTCACTCTCATTTTGTGATAATTTTCCTCTCTTTTGTCTATATTTATTATTTTTCTCGTTTATTTATTATTTTCTCTTTTTGTTTATCTCTTTTTTTCATTTAAGTCTCTCTGTTTCGATTTCATATTCAGTGCTTCTTCCCTCCACTCATATGAAAGGGAAATCGTTTCTCTGGGGTGATTTTACATTGGAGTGGAAATCAAAAATCATCAGGCAGTGCAAAAATGATATGCACATAGCTGTAATGTTGGATTTGCCTTATGCACTGAATAAAAAAAGGTTAGGGGTTGTTATTGCAGTTATGGCTGTAACTGGAGTTGCATAGGAAAACACTGAGTGATTATTTCCTCCATTAACCATAATAAACTTCTCCTGTGGTAGATGATGTGGATAAATACACATTTTCTAAATCTCAGTCTGTTTATAGGTTGGGAGATGAATTGCATTAAAACAGATAAACATGGTAGAAATCACAAGTTAAACCGTTTGGTCAAGCTGTCCTTTTTTTTCATGTCAGCAGTTGACATCTAAGCGTCTGTACACTTGAATGTTCACAGTATCTACATTATCTGCAGTCGGTCGCATGGAGAGGGTTAGATTCAAAGAATCTTGTCAAAGAAGCCTAAGCCTTGCAACTATGAGATATTAAGTGGCTGTGACCTTATAGCACAAAATGACCCAAAGCACATCTCAGTCCAGTAACTTGCACGATTGTTGACATGCCCTGTCGAGTGCTTTTCTCTCTCTGGCTGGATTATTTGCTTATTTGGACTAATGGAGACATTCTGGTCCATCTGAGGAATGTCATGTAATTTCATCTGAAATAGGAGTTAGTCATCCCCCCCACCAATGTAAATGTTGAAGCAGGGGATGAGCACGTATGTGTGTCTGTTATAGATAGTGGGGGAGATTCTCCACTTAAGTTTCCTACTGTGCACCTGGTTTAAATTTAAGCAGAAATGGATTACTACAAACTAAGTTGTTTTTGTGTGATATTTTATACTAATGTTAAAACCAGCCAGGAGTACAGGTTCTAACATAATCAGGGCTTGTCTGTAAGGAGATGGCCGTCTGCACTGGGTTTCTCTAGGGACTGTTTTATCCTGGAGGGGGCTTATGTGACCGGTGGAAGGAGACCTGCACAGTGCATGAAGCATGGGTGAAATATGATCCACTGGCTGGTGTCAGTGTGCATGATTATTTTGTTGTGGAATCACTGGCCGGCATATTTCACATTCAGTGTGACGGACATTCAAGGTGCAGAAAATGAAGCGATCGATTGCCATTGAAACTAAGTCTCCAGGCCTAGGGGTCAGAACAGAATCCAAGCGTAAATTTCCTGCATTGATTTGTTTTCATTACTTGTCCAAAGCTATTGTTTCTCTCTTTAGTTTCCATAACTCTGTATGATATGAAAGAATGATGTTTGGTTGGAGAGATGAAAAAGGTCAAACTCTGCTCCTGTCTTTGTCTTCCTTGCAGCAAAGCATGTGATGATGTGTTGCACTGGGAAGCAACTGCAGCGGAATTACCATTTCAGATAGGCAAAAGTGTTAGTGATCCTGAATATTATTAAAGAATTGTTCATTATTGTGGTCCCTCGGGTTGGTTGTTTGTTTATGTGTATGCAGTCGTGTGTTGTCCTTAACAGCCTTGCAGCATTGAGAGCAAGCATGAAGTCACCATCCTCAGCGGACTCAATGAATTTGTAGTGAAGTTTTTCGGACCACAAGGAAGTAAGTGTTTCTCTTGATTTAACAAAAATTACTTTTTCTCCTGACACATTAAACAAGTTTCCTAATTTGCCTCATTCAGGCTCATTAATGTGCCCCAGATAGTGGCCATAAGATTTAGGGATGTGTTTTCTTACAGGTTTCAAGATACAACAACTAATTAGGAAACATTTATTTGTGTGTTTGTCCTTTTGGATCTTGAATGTTCTCCCATTAATCCTCCTTCTCAAACATTTAACACACAAAAAATGGTTGTAAAACCAGATTCACATTGCTCTGACCACATCTCATGTTTAGTTAAGCTCTAACCAGAGCATGAAGTGACAGGACATGTTGTCCTGATGGCAGCAGGCACAGCAATGTCAGTCAATCTCCTGTTTGGAACATAAAGAGAGGTTCGTCACAGCAGGCCAAGAACGTAAAATGGATTGAAACCAGGCATGAGGCCACAATGTGTGAAACTGAGTAGCCAGGCTTTGGACAAGGAGACTGGCCTCGTCAGCAGGAAATACTTCTTTCGTATGCTGCTCGCAACATCTGTCACACTAAAAACCACTGCCACTTACACATCAGTAAGGAGAGGAAGTGGGTGTTTGACCCTGTTAATGATGTCCAAACTATCCAGAATGAAACAGCACCGTGTGTGTGTGTGTGTGTGTGTGTGTGTGTGTGTGTGTTTTGTATGCACGTGCTCACCGCCATTCATCCTCAACAAGTGTGTTTTTCAGTCATCTGTGTGCTGTTTCAGTGTCAGTGCAGCACATAAGGGTCCTGTTACACACAGCTATTCTGGGAGAGCGCCTCAAATTCACACAATCTCATTATCCTCCTCTTTGATGTCAGTGTATTATATGAAGTGTTTTGGAAGTAAAGAATTCTCCTGGGCTGAAATACATCACTGCATAGAATAAAAGAAAATGGCAAAGGGAAGTGGTATGTGTAGCTCATTTCTCAAGTGGTCCTCTCTGTTGTGTTTCTGTGCAGAGGAGAAAGGAGTGCAGAAAATTGATATAACCCCAAAGTGCATGAAGGATCTAATATGATTTTTTTTGTGTGTGTGCGTGTGTGTCCTCCTCATGTACAGCACCATACGAGGGAGGCGTGTGGAAGGTGCGAGTAGATCTTCCTGACAAATACCCTTTCAAATCGCCATCAATAGGTAGGGCCTCTACTATTGCATGAATGACGATAAGATCAGTTCCAATTCACTTTTATTTTTTACTCTGTCCTCATCTCTTCCTTGCTTTTTCAGGATTCATGAACAAGATTTTTCATCCCAACATTGACGAAGCGTAAGTTGATTTCAGTCATGTATTTGAAGTATCATGGTTTTTTAATGGGTTTGTTACTTTGAGACTTTAGCGGCTGTGTGACAATTGGATTATTGGTCCTTAACACTCGTATAAAGGCTTTGTATTCTGTTTGTATTCAACTTAAATGATTGGTTGAATTCATCAATGTTTCCTAATGTTTTCTATACTGCTTGCTCACATTCTAAGCTTTGAAATAGAGCTGCAACGATTAATCAATCCAAAGCAAATGAATGACCAACTATTTGCTGCTTTTCATTGTCATTAATGATAGTCTTTGGGTTTTGGACTCTTGGTTGGACAAAAGAAGCAATTTGAAGATGTCACTTTGGGCTCTGGGAAATTGTTTTGAGCAATTTTCACAAATTTTTATTGACATTTTCTAAATTAAACAAATAATCTTGAAAGTAATCAGCAGATTATTGATAAAGAAAATAATAGTTAGTTGCAGCCCTACTTTGAAATAATAAAAAATGAACATATGTTGAGCCACCAGTTTTGACTAATAGCAGCAAATCACACAAATCTTGAACCTGGCCAAGCTCTTTGTTTCTCTGGGCCTGTTAATCCAGTGCTTAGAGGCCAGATCCTCTGACGGACACACAGTCTGTGAAGGTTGGTCTCTGAGAGGGCCTGCTGAACAGGCTAAACCTACAGTCCCCTCCAAAAGTATTGGAACGGTAAGGCAAATTCTTTTGTTTTTGTTGTTCACTGAAGACATTTGGGTTTAAGATCAAAAGATGAGTATGAGACAAGAGTTCAGAATTTCAGCTCTCATTTCCTGGTATTCACATCTAGATGTGTGAGCAAAAGTATTGGAACAAATAATCTTAAAGTAAATAACATTTAATATTTGGTGGCATAACCCTTGCTTACAATAACTGTCTCAAGCCTGGGATCCATCTACATCACAAAACTGTTGCATTCTTCATTTGTGATGCTATTCCAGGCTTTTACCGTAGTAAAGTTCAGTTCTTGTTTGTTTCGGGGTGTTTCTCCCTTCAGTCTCCTCTTAAGGAGGTGAAATGCATGCTCTATTGGGTTAAGGTCAGGTGATTGACTTGGCCAGTCTAAAACCTTCCCCTTTTCCCCCCTGATGAAGTTCTTTGTTTTGTTGGCAGTGTGCTTTGGGTCATTGTCCTGCTGCATGATAAACTTCCTCCCGATTAGTTTCAATGCATTTCTCCGTAAATTGACAGACAAATTGTTTCTGTCCACTTCTGAATTCACTCTGCTGCTACCATCAACAGTTACATCATCAATAAATATTAATGAGCCAGATCCAGAAGCAGCCATGCACGCCCAAGCCATGGCATTATCTCCACCATGCTTCACAGATGAGCTTGTACGCTTCGGATCATAAGCAGTTCCTTTCTTTCTCCACACTTTGGCCTTTCCATCACTTTGGTAGAGATTAATCTTGGTCTCATCAGTTCATAAGATTGTTTTCCAGAACTTTTGCAGCTCATCTCTGTGCTTCTTTGCAAATTTCAATCTGGCCTTATTATTCTTCTGCTGATGAGTGGTTTGCTCAGTACACCAGTAGTTTCTTTCTTTTTCAGGCCATTCCAAGTTGTTGTGCTTGCTATGCACAATGTTTGTCCAATGGCTCTGGTCGATTTTTCTATCTTTTCTCAGCTTGACAATGGCTTGCTTTTCTCCCATAGACAGCTCTCTGGTCTTGATGTTGGTTTATCCTCTTTAACAGGAAATGCAAATGTCTTTATAGGTTTGAACCAAGGATGAAAACTTAGACTAGTCATGCAGAGCTATTTAATGTTTGGACAATCAACCTAAAAGGTAACACCTGGGCAACAAGAAACATCTGTCAGTCACATGTTCCAATACTTTTGCTCACTTGAAAAATGGGTGGGTTCAAACAAAGGGTGGTATGTCCTGAGTTGTTTAACACATCTAGATGTGAATACCAGGAAATAAAAGCTAAAATTTTGAACTCTTATCTCATACTCATCTTTTGATCTTAAACCCAAATGTCTTCAGTGAACAACAAAAACAAAAGAATTTGCCTTACTGTTCCAATACTTTTGAGGGGACTGTATGCCTCCTCCCCAACTAGGACATCTAGTCCTAAACAACATATAAATAATGTAAATATATCAATATAACTTTTTCTGTAAATATCTTTGGTTAACAACATATTTAGCCAGCTAACAAGAGCTAACAGTGGAGTTTGTCAAGACTCCATTATTGCTTTGTCATTGGTGTACTATGGCAGAGATGCTCACAAGTCTTTGAGCTAGGGTCCAAGTCAAGTCTCAAGTCTCTGAGCTGGAGTCAAAGTCTCAAGTCACTCGTGGTTATAATGAATGTTGTATCACCTGCTGCATTCAGTCCAGGCTGCTTATAACACTGCATAGCTATAAGGAATTCTGTAACTGTAACCTGTTTTTCACTTAAAGAGCACAACCATGTAATGTGCAATACAATTAATGGCCACTTTAACTACTGTAAGTCAACACATCCCCCAGACTCTCAAATCAGTGTAGCATTATAACTACAGGTGCTGGTCATAGAGAATATCATCAAAAAGTTGATTTATTTCAGTAATTCCATTCAAAAAGTGAAACTTGGTTATTATATTCATTCATTCCACACAGACTGATATATTTCAAATATTTATTTCACTTAATTGTGATGATTAAAACTGACAACTAATGATATTCCCAAATTCAGTATCTCCGAAAATTCGAATATTACTTGAGACCAATACAAAAAAGGATTTTTAGAAATGTATGTATGAACATGAAAAGTATGTGCATGGACAGCACTCAATACTTAGTTGGGGCTCCTTTTCCCTGAATTACTGCAGCAATGCGGCGTGGCATGGAGTCCATCAGTCTGTGGCACTGCTCAGGTGTTATGAGAGCCCAGGTTGCTCTGATAGTGGCCTTCAGCTCTTCTGCATTGTTGGGTCAGGCGTATCGCATCTTCCTCTTCACAATACCCCGTAGATTTTCTATAGGGTTAAGGTCAGGCGAGTTTGCTGGCCAATTAAGAACAGGGATACCATGGTCCTTAAACCAGGTACTGGTAGCTTTGGCACTGTGTGCAGGTGCCAAGTCCTGTTGGGAAATGAAATCTGCATCTCCATAAAGTTGGTCAGCAGCAGGAAGCATGAAGTGCTCTAAAACTTCCTGGTAGACGGCTGTGTTGACGTTGGACCTCAGAAAACACAGTGGACCAACACCAGCAGATGACATGGCACCCCAAACCATCACTGACTGTGGAAACTTTACACTGGACTTCAAGCAACGTGGATTCTGTGCCTCGCCTCTCTTCCTTTCTACTCTGGGACCTTGATTTCTAAAGGAAATGCAAAATTTACTTTCATCATAGAACATAACTTTGGACCACTCAGCAGCAGTCCAGTCCTTTTTGTCTTTAGTCCAGGCGAGACGCTTCGGACGCTGTGTCTTGTTCAAGAGTGGCTTGACACAAGGAATGCAACAGCTGAAACCCATGTCTTGCAAACGTCTGTGCGTGGTGGTTCTTGAAGCACTGACTCCAGCTGCAGTCCACTCTTTGTGAATCTCCCCCACATTTTTGAATGGGTTTTGTTTCACAATCCTCTCCAGGGTGCGGTTATCCCTATTGCTTGTACCTTTTTTCTACCACATCTTTTCCTTCCCTTCGCCTCTCTATTAATGTGCTTGGACACAGAGCTCTGTGAACAGCCAGCCTCTTTAGCAATGACCTTTTGTGTCTTGCCCTCCTTGTGCAAGGTGTCAATGGTCGTCTTTTGGACAGCTGTCAAGTCAGCAGTCTTCCCCATGATTGTGTAGCCTACAGAACTAGACTGAGAGACCATTTAAAGGCCTTTTGCAGGTATTTTGAGTTAATTAGCTGATTAGATTGTGGCACCAGATGTCTTCAATATTGAACCTTTTCACAATATTCAAACTTTCTGAGATACTGATTTTGGGGTTTTCATTAGTTGTCAGTTATAATCATCAAAATTAAAAGGAATGAACACTTGAAATATATCAGTCTGTGTGGAATGAATGTATACATCATACAAGTTTCACTTTTTGAATGGAATTACTGAAATAAATCAACTTTTTGATGATATTCTAATTATATGACCAGCACCTGTAAATAAAAATGTAACGTTTCATGATCAACAATAAACCTGTAACTTGTTTGCAGCTGATGTTAATTATTTATGTGATGGCCGCCAGTGGTACGTAAATGATCAAGTTAATCGACCACCACAAGTTTGTCAAGCAAACAAACATTCATCTTTTCATAACAAAAGACAGTTTGACCTGACCTCCAGTAGGTCGTATCTAAAGCAAGAAACAAGCTAACATTAGATGGCCAATGCTGAGCTAAACATGTTCACTAACCTCAGGTTACAAACCTATTTTGTGTTCACCGCTTGTTTTGTTTGGGTCTTGTTGTATGAAGTTTTAAAGCCAAAGTTTATGTTTGTTATCCTCTCTCACGTGTGGTCGCGCACAGCAGATACGTAGTATGTGTTACGTAGACAGGTTATATGAACGCAGGGAGGGGAACAGCAAGCTCATCAGACACTTCCTAAAAATAACCATTGTTCTCGAGTCCCACACCTTGAGTCCGAGTCAAGTCTGAAGTCTTTGAAGCCGAGTCTCAAGTTGAGTCTGAAGTCACTGTGTTTGCGACTTAAGTCTGACTCGAGTCCAAGTCTCAAACTCGAGTCCCTATCTCTGACTTAAAGTAATCTATTTACCAGTCTAACCATTACCTGGTATGTCTGACCTGGTCACATGATATTTTAAAGCTTGACAAAAAGTTCTTCAATTCTCCTTAAACAATTTACTGCCACACAAGAAATATGTGATACTGAGGGCTGCAAGGGATATATCACCATTGTATTCCAGTTTGGGGAAAAAGAAGGCAGCATTTCTCAGCCACATTTAAAAAAGGGACAGGCCTTGTCGAACAGTCGATATACTGTGGATTGAAAGGATCCAGCCCCTGAGCTGGGACATGCATTGCACAGAGATTCCCCCTTACCCCTCTAACTCTGTTTTCTTCTCGGTTTCCCAGGTCAGGGACAGTGTGCTTAGATGTCATCAACCAGACATGGACAGCCCTTTATGGTGAGTGGCCCCCGCTGCCCAGGTGTCTATATTAAGTTTCCTCACTAGGGTCTGGGTGATTATGTGCGAAGAACTTGACACAGTGCCGTCAGCACCAAAAAGGTGACTTGGGCTCCTAATGTACTTACTGAGGGGAGAAGTGAACACTAAAGAGGTAAAAACCTTAACCTGGCAAAAGTCAGAAAACATTCACCTTCAACAGGAATGCTTCACAGGCATGTCAGCTGTGAGAGACAGCAGCACACTCACATGCTTTCGATGACAACAATTGTACTTGCTGTTTCTCACCCAGTTGCTCTTCTCACTGTCATCATGTCTCTCTCTCTGCTCATCTCTATGTCCCTGTGCCCTTCTCCTCATTTCCTCATTAATTTCTCATTACAGCACCTCACCAGGGCTAAGATGGGTGTTGAGCAATATGAATGGCTTTACAGTAATATCCCGAGCAGGTGTTTCAGCATCCCTGCCTATTTATTTTCACTCGTGTTCTGGATATGACTCAAAGGAGAATGTTAACATCCTAAATGGTATTTTAACAGCTTGATTCAGAATCAACTCTGATTACAGAGTTATTATTATTATTTATATTATTTGTGTCAATGCTGTAATGTTATCAAATGAGGAAGCTTGCCCTTTTTTTCCCTAGAATCAGGTGAAAGCCTTGTTAGAATGACATTTGTGTTAATTTACCCTTGTTTGTGCTCTTGTCAAATGCTGTAGATTTTGTTGTCGAGTGTTTGAAAGAAAAAAATCCTAATGGACAAACATTGAAAGAATAGGCCAATCAACCAAGCATGGTCTGTTATGAGTCTCTATGAAGCAAGAGGGAACAAAAGCAACTGATTAAATCAGCTAAACATCATAAAACTGCACAATAGACAATAGGGAAGTGGTTGTTTTCCTAACTTGAACAGCCTCAGTGGTGACACCTAGGAGTTGAGAGCAGAATTGCAGGTTAATCTACTAGGCCTCAGCTCTGAGAGAAAGCTGAAAGCTGAGGCCTGCTAGCAGAGAGCTAGTGAAAGGGATTAATGAGGTTTTGTGAGGCTGAGGATTTCCGATGAGTCGTTGCTAGCATATACACAGTACATCTCTGATCCGGTTACTTCTGATAAATGGTTATATTTTGGAGAGGCCTGACAGTAACTACCATTAAATGATTTCTATAATTGTCTGATTTACTTATTTTTTTCAGTTGGTAAAGTGTTGTCTTCTTCCCCAGATTTGACCAACATCTTTGAGTCGTTCCTGCCCCAGCTGCTGGCTTACCCAAACCCCATCGACCCCCTGAATGGAGATGCAGCTGCCATGTACCTTCACCGGCCAGAGGAGTACAAGCAGAAAATCAAAGGTTCAGCCTAATCACAATCTGGGTGTAGATCCCATGTCCTTTTTAGATGCTTGGATTATTGCACACCTGGAAAAAGTTATTTTTCCCAAATGTATTATCTGACAAAATTGAAGTTCTGATCACATATATTCCATGTCTGACCATGCTCTCTTCCTCTTGGTCTCCCACCCCAAACCCCCCCACACAGAGTACATCCAGAAATATGCAACAGAGGAGGCTCTGAAGGAGCAGGAAGAGGGTGCAGGCGACTCGTCATCTGAAAGCTCCATGTCGGATTTCTCAGAAGACGAGGCCCAGGACATGGAGTTGTAGTGATAGGAGGGCTCCCCCATCCCGCCCTCTCCTTTATCCCCCACAGAGACTATATTTGATTTCCTAACCATGAGAAAGCAGACTTATAATATTCATATTTAAACAAGTTGATTTTTTTATTATTATTATTATTACTACTAAACAAGGATTTTTATGGATATCTAGCCTTTGGTGTGTTTGACACCCCTACTATTCTGTAGCTGTTTCTCCCTACATAGATGTCACAATTGCTGTCACATCCCTACCATCTCCGCATTTTTAAAGTGTGTCATGTTGTAGGCAGGAAATCTCCCCGCGAACATCTAATTTCTGTACTTGGATTTCACTTATAACTTACCAGTTTGACCTGAATCCTAATTTCCTTTCTTTTTCCACAATGCTAAATGACTCTGACCAACATTTTAATTAGTTGCTCCACTACAGAGCTGCTTAGGTTTTGAATAGGTTTTGCTTATCTGGGTGTACAGCTCTGCAATATTAGCCTGTAGTCAAGACAGTATTTTAAGGCGCACGATCATACACGAGGTGTTGTAGCACACCTTACACAAAAATACAAAAAGTGTAGTGCCAATAGACACTCATAAATTGACCCTGAATGCTTTGTAAGCATATCTTTTTTCCAACATATTTATTGAGACTTGGCAGTAGAAAATATGCCTCTTTTTTTTCGCCTTCAGTTTACATGCTACCCAGACATGTTACTTAACTTTTTGTTACTATTTATTGACCTGCTGCAGCAGTCTGTCTACATGTGCCGCTGTGCAGTGCAAAATTATTGCTTAACTAGGTCAGGCCTTGTTCAACAAATGAATGAAATAAACGTCTCATTACTAGGTGAGTGACAATGTGGTAACAAAGACGTGTGTTGGGTGCTTCTGAGATTTGTTGAAAGTTCACCAGGTGCATAAACTGTTTGGAAGATTGGTGCACAAAAGCAATGAAGACAGAAGTGGCTTTACTCTGAGGCATTTGTGGAGATTCTGGTCAGACTCACTTGGTGTGATGGAAACTGAAAATAGACCAGAGCTACCATTTAACCATCTGACCATATGGATTTCATATTTCATGCAGCTCTTGCCAGTTTTCTGTCAGGAAGCAACCTCAAACACACAAGCACCAAACATTCTCACTCTGCAGGATGCCACTAACCTACAGTCATCTGCTGTACTCCTGCTTTTTAAAACAAAATTGTATTAGTCTTATTGGTCAAAAACAACTTTCCAAGCAGGGAAATACAGATCACATATTCTTGTGAACTTCAGAAAACCAACAACAAAATCAGTTTTAATTTTAATGAAAAGCAACAAAAAATGGTCATATGATTATTGAGTGGATCTGAGAAAAAGAGTGATTTATTGGATATTCAGGTTTGTGTAGTATCGGTCCTCCTCACATTCCACTGTTACCTGGGGTTTGCTCCAATGCATGCCGTTCATATTGGTCTGACCTGTGGTATGTACCCCGACTGCATTTTATGTCTGCCTACCCGGATGTCTATTTGGATCACTAGTTTGAAGAAGATTGCAAAATAAGCTGAATTTTCGTTGAAGGGAATTAATTTAACATTAATTTCATATGTACAGATTTGACTTCTTATCTAAAAAAAAAAAAAAAAAAAGAAAAGGAAAAACCTCTGGTGTTACTCATTGTTTATTTAATGTGGCGGGTTAAGACATAAATCCAGAATGCGTGGACAGAGAATGCAATCGCAGCTTAGATTTTTGGCTGTTTTTTCCTTCTTTTATTTCTTGTACATTTCTTTCCTTATCGGGGGGGTCAACACGTTAGGATATTTTTCTTTTTTTATGTACAGCATCTACCATGTACAGTGATAAGACACCTCTCTGTAGCCTCATAAAATCTCAGTGTTGAACCCAAAACACTGACCCGAGTGAGGTTAACATGGCAGTCAAACTACCTAGAAAAACCTTGAAATGTATTCACTTCATAGTTTGCAGTAAGAGTCACTGGTTGCTTTGTGGCAGATTGTGGACGATTCAAAGCCTGAATCGTACTCTGGAGGTCACTGTATCACCTCTGATCTCAACTCCCGCTTCCGTGCCTCATCACAAAAAGAAGGTGACCATTTAAAAAAGTCCCCACCCAAAACCATGTTTTCAAAAAGCCATGAAGGTCAAAAGTAACAAGAAAAGCACATTTGTTTTTACTCATACTGCTTTTATTGTCCTCTTCCTGCAAAATGACCCTGTGCAGTTTGTGACTTGACATCTAAATTTTCGCTCTGTTGCAGATGAGGGGTGTTACCCAGGGCTGAGTTTGGTGTATTTGAGCAAATGTAGGATTGTGAGACTTTAATGGCCCAGATTAGAAATACAGTTTGGTTGTACCTTACACTTTGATTAATATTTTCACCCGGGACATACAGAAAGGATAGAAATCATACTAATATTTGTTGAACTGCGTTTTGACATGTCAGGATAGTTAGTTTTGCTGGGTGTTGACTTCAACTAAACAACATTATGCTATATGGCTGTATTACAGATAGTTAGCTAGTTTGGTATACTTACATGAAAAAGCATTAATTTCTCATCTGATTTTTAGTTAGTCTGTTGTGTGGTTATATGTACAATACTCCATAGACATGCCTGCTTGTCCTCTCTTGCAGAGTTGTACAGATGAGTGGGAGTGATTTCAATCTAGGGTGACATTTGACCTGTAGTAAGCCTAATGGTTCTGACTGTACAGAAATCAAAAGTTTGGTTCAGCTCTTTTCAAGCGATTGGATTTCCTCCAAAAGCATGATTTAAAAACACAGTTCCATGCTCATAATTATGCCCACATTGGAATGCATTTAGAACAGAGACACTTCCATGATTGGTTTTTAATTTCTGATATTTATCCGAAGAGTTTGACTGTTTAAAGCTATGGGATGATAATGTCTGTCACCCAGCCTGGAAATGTTTTGAATGTTAGCTCAGGGGTTACCTTTTAACTGTTGCAGAGCTAACTTTTGTGATAGTCAACATGTACAAGGCAGTATAAAGCTATGTGAATGTTTTACATGTGTTTCGGGTTTGTTTGTGGTGAGGTCGGTGATCCACATCCACTCAAAACAGAACAAACCTGCAAACTGTATGCAGATCCCCACTCTCACAATTGGCTTGTGTTTTCTCCCTAAGCTGCCTATAAATGTGTATTTATTCATTAAAGAGACCTCCTTTTTTGTTTTTAATCTTGCTCATCAGGCACCAGTAAGTTATGGCTCAGCTAAATTAACACACTGATGATAACTTGATCTTGAGTTGGGTTTTTTTTTGTTTGTTTTAAGGAATTCAGATTGGAATTCTAGTTTTACTTTACATTTGTGCAGTATTGTACTCAAGTGCTGACAATACAGTATATCCGAGTTGACAATTGTAATAAAATTGCACATTATGATGCAGTACTACAAGAGGGAATTAATGATATTTTTGTCTTTTTCAAAAACAAGACTCTTGTGTTTGGGTAAAAATCAAAGGTTTGGTTTTCAGCATTTTTTGCATCTGGGCAATAAATTGATTATATACTCAGCTGTGGCCTGGTGTTGCTCTGGTAAAAAACCATCTGATGTTTTAAACAGATTGGTTCTTTCTTCTTTCTTTTTTTAACTTCCCACACTTGTCAAGAGACATAATTCCTGCCTTTGTGTTTCAGGTTGTCTTCAACTCAAGTCAAGAACTAAAGGAAATGTCCTCAAACCAGTGAATGAGTATGCTTCCCATGGCAACTTAAATTCAAAAAATGTTTTTGAAAACATGTTTATTGTGCTTTTATTTAATATCCTTTTGGCTTTCTCTTCTCCCCCTCTTTTGCTCTAAGACCACAGGTGCACAGATTACAATGTCTTAACTACTTAGATTAACATGATGGGATTAATAGGGCCTCGAAATTCTTACTGCAAACCTACAGAGAAAGTACAGCCCAGAGCCATAACCCCCACAACCGTACCCACACACTCTGCCAGATCCTATAAGGATGGAGCACCTCCGCTAAATGAATGGACTGGTTTGTCATTAATCTATAGACAGGACTTCCAGGGCCCATTCTCCTGTTGTATCAGCACAGCTGCAAAGAGCCAGCACCCTGATCCTGTAATATCACCTCCCCTCGTGTGTTGACTGTGTCTCCTTGTGCACTTGCATGCTTCTGGTGTGGAGTTGAGGCTCGCTTTGTGCACACTTTCCATTCTGTTTTATGCTTGTGTGGATTTGTGCCCTGTGCTGGCATACAGCTGCCATCAGGGGATTTAACAGGTACACACAGCATGGAAAAATGGCATTAAAAAAAAAAAAAAAATAGAAACTATGTATTTGTTACCTAGTGTGTGATACTTGAGGGTTACAAAGTCAAAAGGTTTATTTTTTTGTTTAAAAGTCCATCCTTGGTCTTATTTTTATTACATTCTTTGCCCTCCTTGTTTTTCCTTTGCATTGTGAAGTGGGCATGCTTGTCAAAAAGACAAAATGCTCTCTATTAATAGGCTTATAACCTCTTAAATAGTTGTGTATAAAATAAACTGTTATAACTTCTTTTTTTAATAAAACATTCAATGTGTAAAAAAGGTCTCTCATCTCATCTCTCATCTCATCATTCTCATCTGTTGCACCCAGTGTATGATCTGTTATTGAACTATTTTATGAAAGACCTCAGGACTTTACTGCAGAAAATATGAACAGCAGCAGATGTTGCATATTTATGTATGATGATCTCAGTTTAACATTTCATTGCTCTGAATTGTAATGGCAACATCCAAATCTCCCTTTATGATTCCGTGAAGAACTTTCTCTCATTGAGCTAAATTCCACCTGTGTTAGATGGGATATCCTGATGTCCTCTTAACATATTGAAGGTGTTTGAACAACTTATGCCAAACTCACGTATTATGTTCACTTACAGAATCACCGGATTCATGTGAAAAGTGATAATTACATTTATTTTTTGGCAACATTTTAATTTGTAGTTTGCTTTACAACAGTGCCGTATTGTAAATGTTACAATTTTATATATGGAGAAAATGACACCACCAACACACAAGGCCAATATACACTTTGGGATTTTAATAATTACTCCCATTGATAATGTGTTTTTTAATGTTGTATATTTAAATCTTCTTTTTATTTTTTTCTCATTATTCTTCATTGCAGAAATCTTTTGAATCTTGAATCCAGAAAAGGACATTTGTCCAGGTTCAAATACCACATACGTTAAACACTGGAAAGCTGAGGTCTTCTCACATTGAAGAGTCAATACAACAACGTGTATAGCCTTATACCCCAAACACTATAGTCTATTACGAAGGACTGAATAATTGCTATATTCTATAAGCATTTTACCCAAGTTAATTTTCCTCCAAATTTCTTCAGCAGGAATGCCCGAATTTGACATCCAAACAGATTTAGAAAACCTCTCACAATCAATCTATATAAAAAATTACATTACACATACATTTTGTGTCCTCTGGAACACTAACCTGTACTATTGCCACTTCCACAAGGTGTCAGTGTGGCACTACACATCTGTGTCACAACTCCCCACCTTGCTTGTACAATAAGGGCCACTGTCTGGCATGATCCCTGAGAGTGCTGGGAAACATGAGAGGTTACTACCCCAGTACTTCAACTCTGAAATGGGGGTGATGAATGACTACACCCACCTGAACACACAGCACTGGCTACTGAGTTTTCTTTCAAACCAACATTAAAACAGTGTGTTTGCTTGTAGTGCATCTCAAGCCTTCAAAGCGCGGGTTGGGTTTATATAGCAATGCATAAGTCTTGTATACCCCATTGATCTGTGCCAAATCTGCTAAGCATCTGACTGAGGTTTTATTTTGAAGGGGACATTGGACTGTGTGAGATTAACCTTGCTGTCAGCAGCTTCCACTTGCAACGACGGATGCAGTTCCACAAGTGAGCCAGGAGAGGGCGCTGCCTCATGCCTCCGCCTCTATCCCCAGCTGAAACCCCCCTCTGTATAATCACAGCAGGGGAAAATAAATGATGTGACATAAGGCTGTTTAATCCCCTATCCTCTGAAAAATGTATTCTGTCACGCAGCAATCTGCCCTCTCTTCCTGACTGTCTTTATTTCTGTACCGGTGCTGAGATATAAAATTACTCTCCAGTTTGATATTTCTTAGACGTTTGGAGGAATGATTGCTGAGCTTTTGATTTGGTTGCTTTTTGTTTGGTTGTACATATGGGAAATTAAGTTTGCCTGTTCCACATCCTTCTCTTTCTGTCTTTCATATATACACAAAATACCAAGAACACCCTCCGATAGCCCTGGAATAACTATAGATGTTGTGAGACTTTATATATATATTTTAACACATTGTGTTGTTTTTTTGAGACTGTATGAAGAAGTTTGATTGAATGGCCTTACAGTATTTAATAAGGTACTCTGTAGTCTTCCTGTATACATACCTCTTTCTCTGTACTGAACATCCTGTGCCATGCCACAACCTCCAGCGTGTCCACATCAGACACCTAGAGGGTCCTCAGCATGCTCATACTGTTTCTGTTTGACGACACCTGAAGTTTCTCGACATCCTCCCAGATCCACATTCTTCATATACAATCTATGTTTAATTTTGTCATTATGATTGTCTAAATTATAACTGTACTATGCTGATCTATTCTGTACAGACAGCAGCTATTGCATGTATGTGTCCCTCCAGGAAGAGGGATCCTTCTTTGTCTTCTGTTGTTCTTCCTGAGGTTTCTTCCAATTTTCCCCGTTAAAAGGTTTTTGTGGGAGTTTTCCTTATCTGAATCGAGGGTCAAAGGACAGAGGGTGTAGTGTGCTATACAGAGTATAAAGCCCCTTAAAGCAAATTTGTGATACTGGGCTATTCAAATAAAACTGACTTGACTAACAAATCACCATACTGTAATGTTTTCAGTTTAAAGGAGCGTTCAGTGTACTTCATTTCAAATCCCATGGTTCAGGGCTACTGTTCACTGCAAATGCTTTCAGCTGTAAAAACCCAGCCCTCTGTTTTTCGCCCTGCTACACCTTCTCCTGCATCAAAAGAGGAGGAGGAGGAGGAGGAGGAGGAGGCTATTTGTCTCTTCACAGACCTGACCTCCAGAGGTCCAGCAACCTGAGAATCTCAATGAAATATTTAAAGCTTCTGTTTTATCCGCAGTGCGTTGGTCAAGTCAAACTGTGGGCCTCCATGACGTAATGCCAGATGTCTGATTGGTCCTCACTGAAGCAGGGTGGTCAGGTGACCTGTGCCGCTGTGGCCTTTTAAGGCATTATGATGCCCTGAGGCTTCACATTATGCTCATGGGCTGTCTGTTGCAAGTTATGATCAATCACTATTGGCTGTGGTATTTTCCATAGCAAAGCTTTTAGCAGTAAAACTATGCATACATTCTTTAATGAAGGCCCTCATAGTTCAGATTATACTCATCTATGTTTAGAAAAAAGTCAGTATAATTGTTGTCACATTCCATCATGCCTTGTTTTATGACATAGGGGCTCCACAGAGCCAAGTCTATGGTGCAATCATTAAAAAAAAAAAAAATTGAGGTTTCATATGACCATGGATAAAATATGGTGCCAAAGTTGATTTTGTTTCTTATATTTTCCCCCTTCTTCTTCCCTTCTGCTGGTGAGCTGACAGCTCATGAACCATCACCAACATGCAGGCTGTGTCTTGGGTTTCTCAAGCTGGGGCTGGATGGCAGACTATGGTCTCTCTCAGGTTACAAGCTCGATTTCACTGGCACTGTGGGGGGTTGAATGAGGTGGTGGTGCAGCAGCAGCAAGCAGCACAATGATCCCTGGGTGTTTACTAATAGATGACCCACTGACTAACATGCTCCCCACCTACCACCACCCGCCAGTCCACTCCTTTGCTGCAAGGCGGGCGCAGACAGCTAAGAGCCAGTGCTGGTGGTCGCAGTGGCGTAGGAGACCCTGCAGAAGCTGGTTTGTATGGACACAATCACTGCCAGTGTGTGTGTGTGAGAGAGAGATGTTATACAAAAAGAAAACAATTCTCAACATCAAAATGTATGTATATGAATAAAGTGTCAGCCTGATTTGTTCAGTCTTTCTTTTGTCACATTGACAGGCAGTTGTCATATGTGTGTTATTGTTGGCCTTATTTCCTGACCTTATTTTTACTGTCATCTTTACAATTTTTATTATCCTGAGTAATGAAGCTGCATGTGCTGAGGGCAGTAAATAATCCCCTGCTCAGTAATCCTCTGCAGAAGTAACGCCAGTTGGAGCTAAAATGTAATTTCATATCAAGAGAGTTATGAATGAACATTTTTCCTCACATAAATTAGTAACCATCACTCTTATCCAGTTTGATTTAATATGATTGAAAATGTCTTATTATAATTTTACATACTTGTCATTTTATTATTTCTGTTCAGTATGCCCAATATCTAGAATAATCTACATTTGGCTGAATAATTATTATTACTGTTTAAAATATATCTGGAGAGGTTTTATGAAACTACATTATTCTGCATGTTCTCTTGTAACAGCCTAAATACAAAGTTCTGGGGAACAACTGATGTGGATTTGTGATAAAATATTACTTCTGCCTCTTTGTTTTTCCCGAAGCACTGCCTTGCATCTTCAATAAATTTTCCTCTATTGTTGCCATTTAGCTTTTCTTTTGGAACAGCGGACTGCATCTCCCCGCATTATCAATTCATACGGCGCGCTATCGTATGGCCTGGATCCCTTCACCGGAGACGGGTGGCGGCACAAACGCACAGCGTCCACCTGATCCCTCCGCTGGCACCTGTTTCATCTGGCTCTGGCATGACAGCGCAGAACGAAATGAGTGTTTTAAATATTCATCGAGGGCTACTCATCTCCTATACACGCACAGATGATCCGCGGCTCCAGTTTCAGCTTTTCCAGGTGGAAACCACGTCGAGCCTTGGAGAGGCTAAGGGCTCCGGCTCTTCAGCGGTGAGCAGCAGCGACGCGGATTGATTTCACTGTCGCACCGAAACCCTAAAAAGAGTGTAACCAAAACCAACCCCATCACTTCTAAATATTAGACGAGTTTTATCCACCTAGTTATCTGCCTAATTATTAACAGCAGGTAAATGGACTCTTGCCATCGGAGAGGTGCATGGGTAGAACCTGCCCTCATATATTAGGCATCCAAAAGTGAACTAGGGACATCTCACTTCAGCAGGGGCCCCTCGGGTGGTGTGCAGCTCTGCATAAGGGAGGAGGATGTGGAGCAACACGAAGGCCCCAGAAGGCCCATGAGAACTGCTGCTGCCTGACAGGACACCAGGCCTCCATCAGGC